AAGTAGTTAAGGTTAAATGAGGTCGTAAGGGTGGAGCCCTAATCCGATTTGCCTGGTGTCCTCATAAGAAGAGGGCGTGTATACAGAGGAAAGAGGACACAGTCAGAAGACAGTCAGCCGCAAATCCAAGAGATGGGTCTCAGGAAAACCCAGCCCTGCGCACATCTTGATCTTGAGCTTCTGGTCTCTAGAACCTTGTGTGTATGTGTTAGTCACTCAGTCATGCCCGACTCTTTGCAACCCCATGGACTGCAGCCCACTCTTTGCGACCCCATGGACTGCAGCCCACCACTCTAGAACCTTAAGAAACTAAATTTCTCTTATTTAAACCACCCAGTCTGTGGTATTAACATTTTGTTACACAGCCCTAGCAAACTGATACAAGTGATTTCTTACCTTCTGGCACCAAAAACTCATACTGTACTTTCTTGCCTCAGTCCTGGAATCAGCCGTTTCCTCAAAGATCGCTTGTTCTTGGAGAACAATATTTGGAAACCAGGATCTGAGCACTGTTGTGCCTGCTGTTTGTTGACTCAGAGAAGATGCACAATGTGAGAGTTGTGAGTTAAGTTTTATTTGGGGCAAAATGAGGACCGCAACCCGGGAGACAGTACCTCAAATAGCTCTGAGAAACTGCTCCAGAGAGGTAGTGGGGGAAGGTCAATAAACAAGATTTTGGTGAAGAGGAGTTCCATGCAATCAAAGGTTTTCGCTAGTCAGGAGGAGCTGGTGTCACCATGAAGGGATTTAGTGCTTTTCTAGATTGGAGGAGGTGCAAGGATTGGGACCATGAAATCAGTTCCTGAAAATATGTATCTAAGGAGCTGTCCACCAGTCTTCCTGGAGCACAGAGGGCCTCATTGTTCTCCACCCTGAGCTCCCTTCAGGGCATGTGCAGCCGCAGCAGCACGGGATTCAGTCCTCCGCAGGGGCAGATGGCAAATGCCCTTGGCAAGCACCAATTTGTGGTTGACATGTTCATTGTTTCTAGCTGTCTGCATGGAAGAAATTAGGAAATGTAGGGGATCATGTGTATGAGTGTGTGTATGACTGTCCCCCATGCCTCTGTATCCATTTCTTTTTATTATTATTATTATTTTTTTTAATTTGGCTGTCCTGGGTCTTCATGTCAGCATGTGGACTTTCTCTAGTGGTGATGTGCAGGCTTCTCTTGTTGCAGAGCATGGGCCCTAGAGCACGCAGGTTTCAGTAGTCGCAGCTCTCGGACTCTCTAGTTGTGGCGTGTGGGCTTAGTCACTCTGTGGAATGCAGGACCTTAGTTCCCTGACCAGGGATCAAACTCAAGTCCCCTGCATTGGAAGGTGGATTCTAAACCACTGGACCACCAGGGAAGTCCCCATTTCCATGTTTATCTTTCTGTGTATATGTTAAACCCATGAATTCATATTGCTAACCTGTGATTTCAGTCCAGTAGCACGTGGTTCATTCTAGCTGTCCCTCATTCCTTATTTGCCTCGTCTTAGAATGCATATTAAGTAGTTTCGAACTATTAACCTGTACTCTTGGGAGAAACAAACCTCCCAATTGTTCATGGTTCTTTTTGCCTCTCACCTTGAGTTATATGTTCAGAATACTGTGTTCATATCACTAATGTTATTTCTCCCTTCATCCCTTTTAGTGTGTCTGTGTTATTCATTCAAACCTCAGGTTGATTTGGTTTCTTGTTTGCATTCCATTTTTTCTGTCTGCTGCCCCATGCTTGTTGGATTTGTCCGTCTATTTCTATTGAAACTTTAACATGGCTCAAAAGGTCAGAGCTACAGACAGCTATACTTGGAGGTTTTCTCCTCTTTCTTCCACCCTGTCCCCTTGCACCCACAGCTAACCAAACCCAGTCATTTCTGAATTAGCCTTCCTGTGTTTCTTTGGGTTTGGCTGCTGCTTCCCATCCAGAGGCGCTTCCTTACGACAGACCCCTGAACATGGACACCTCAAAAACGGATGCTGACCGAGTTATGCAGCGTTGTCTTCTTCCTTAGTGCCGGTCAATCAGCTAGTGATTCTTTGGTGCTTCTCTGCGCTAGGTGCTGGGTTAGACGCAGGCACGGAAGACTGGGCCAGAGGGTGAAGCCGGATGTCTGGGCCCACGCCTTCTCTCGAATCTGCCCATCTCCTCTTCTGTTCACCTATCTCCTCTATGTCTCCTTGTTCCTGTCTGTCGTTCCCTGCCTGTTTCACAAAGCTGCCATCGTTCCAGTGACTACTTGCATGCTAAGACGCTTCAGTCCTGTCTGACTCTTTGCAACCCTGTGGACTGCAGCCCACCAGGCTCCTCTGTCCATGGGATTCTCCAGGCAAGAATATTGGAGTGGGTTGCCATTTCCTACTCCAGGGGATCTTCCCAACCCAGGTCTCTTATGTCTTCTGCGTTGGCAGATAGGTTCTTTACCACTCGCACCACCTGGGAAGCCCTTCATTGACTAACCAAGACTTAAATACAGATGTTAATTATGTATCTAATTAATGATATTACTCTTACAAATAATCAACACAAAATAGCATTGACAACTGGCCAAAACTACACAAGGTAATGTTGGTTGCTCATTAAATGTGATAGGAAAAAATCAAAGCTCCAACAAATTGGGTCCCCCAGGACACGTATATTAATACCCACAGAAATTTTAGGACCATGAAGGAAAAATCACAAGGGTAATAGAAGTTAGTTACATACAAAATGCTAGATCTAATCTTTCTTGTAAAATTAAAACTGACATGAGCTAATCCCTACGGAAATTTTTATGAAGCATAAATAAAAAATGGAAAACACTGAAGACTATGCTGGCAGAAAATGACTCCATGGGTTTGGGGACCAGAAAATACAAAATACAGGAGGGAGGGGGAGTGAGAGGGGAGGCTGGAGAGGAGGCCAGCATTTGTGCCTGATCCCAAGGGTGGTGGGAAGCCCTGGGCAGCTGTCAACAGGGGACAGACATCAAACTTACATCTATCAGTGAGTCGCTGAGTGTGCTGCAGAGAACGGAGTGGGCCTCAGGCTTCCTCTGAACCCCAGAGCTAGGGAAGGGCCAGGTAAAGGAAGGCCCGTGGGAGGGAGGGGTGGAAAGGAGAAGAAAGAGAGAGAACTATGGCTACAAATGGGGGGGAAAGGATGAGGAATTGGAGGGATCTTAGTTCTTAGAGAGTGGACATCCGAGCAGACCTTGGAGGGGAGAAAAGTTAGGAAAAGCTGTGAATGGGGGGACGGATGAGGGGAGGGGCCACCCGGATAGCAGGGGGGTGGTGAGCCGAGAGGAGGGTGCACAGGCCCAGGGTCGGGGGGAGGGCAGACCCTGGAGAGGAGTCTGGGAAGTGTCTGAGGAGGAGCCCTTCACGGGACTGTTGCAACAGAGTGAGTGGCCCCTGTCTCCCTCACCCTCCTTCCCCCACGGGGAGGCCATTTTAGGGGGCCAGTAGGGGTGGGATCTGTACATACAACCACAACTCTCCTACACTGCTGCTAGGAGTGTGAAAGAGGGCAGCCCGTTTGGGAAAGTGCTGTGCCAGTTTCTTGTCCCTGGGTTGGGAAGATCCCCTGGAGGAGGAAAATGGCCACTGACTCCAGTATTCTCACCTGAAAAATCCAGTGGACAGAGGAGGCTGGCAGGTTACAGTCCAAAGGGTGACAGAGAACGGGGTAGGACTGAGCGACTACACACGCATGACTGGTCAGTTTCTTATAAAGTCAAACACGTACTTAGTGTATAACCTGACCATCCCACGTGTAGGTGTTTCCCCAGGAGAAATAAAGACATACATCCATGCAGAGGCCTGTACAGAATGTTGACAGCAGCTTTATTTATAAAAGCCGAAGGCTGATAGAGACCCACATTTCATCAGCAAGAAAATGGGTAAACATACTGTGGTACATCCATAGCAGGGGAATACTATTCTTATGAGTGGTATACAAATTCTGCGAAGCAAATCACCAGTCTATGTTGTGACGTGGATAAACCTCAAAAACTTTATGCCGGGCTAAAGAAGCCAAACACAGCAAACAGCACAAGATGTTGGATTCCACTCATAAAGTTCTAGAACAGGCCAAAGTAACGTGGGATTCAAAACAGTGGTGGACCATGAGAGCGGAAGATACTGACCAGGAGGGGGCCTGAGGGAACTTTCTGAGAAAGATGGAAATAGACTGTCTCCACAGGGGCCTGGGTTACACAAATGGAAACATTTGGCAAGACTCATGAAACCTACACTTAAGATCTGTGCGTTTCACTGTATATAAATTATGTATCTATTAAAAAACAGTTGATTGCAGTCTGGGAAGATTGGAAATTGCAATACAAATCAGAAGTGATTTGTTGCTTTGACTTGTTTTCTCTCTTCTTGATTCTTAGCTTAAAAAGGCTTTTTGTTTTAAAGTCCGGGAGCCTGCTTGTCAGGGCACTCTGCCGCAGCCAGCTGACCCGAGGCCCCCTGCCTCCTCTCCTATTCTCCTCACTCAGAATGCCCGCATTCTATTGTGCCCTGAAGCGTACCAGCACCAGCCTGGGTTCTCCAGTTGGAGACCCTTCAAGGGGCTGGATCTTTCCGGTCTTAATGTTTCAAGACACAATTTAATAAGATCAGTAGGAATAGGGTCCACGCGTGGTATCACAGGGATGGTGGAGCTTTGGCATTGGCTCCAACTGGATTTGAATCCAGAGGCGATCACTGTGTGGCCTTGAATCTGTCCACCTGAGTCTCAGTTTTCACCTCATAGTAGTAGGACTCCTGTGCTTGGCACACAGAGGAGCCAGGAAGTCTGGCAGCTGGGGTCCCGGCTGCCTCCACTGTGGCTTCTGCACGGATAGGCGTGGCTCCCAGCGTGGCAGGTTCTCCCCCCGACCCCATCCCATGCAGACCACCCGCTGGGGCTCCAGGCACCCTGTCTCCTGTCGTATGTCTGGTGCCGTCATCTTACATATTGTTGAGAGCTGAGTTAGGCAGCTCAGCTAAAGGACACTGACCTCATATTATTCTTATTTTGTTTGAAGGGTATCAGCATGGACGGTGTGAGTGAGAATAAGATGGTGCCCTCTGATTTTAGCACAGGACCCATGGAGAAAGCTGCCAAACCTCTGCCATTTAAGGATCCCAACTTCGTGGTAAGCATCTAAAGTGAAAGTGTTCCTTGATCAGTCGTGTCCAACTCTGCGACCCCATGGATTATAGCCCACCGGGCTCCTCTGTCCGTGGAATCCTCCAGGCAAGAATACTGGAGTGGGTTGCCATTCCCTTCTCCCGGGTTTCCCCCCGACCGAGGGATTGAACCCGGGTCTCCTGCACCGTCAGGTGGGTTGATTACGCTCAGAGCCCCAGGGAGTCCCAGAAGCATCTAAGGTGTTTTGTAAATAAAAAAACCAAGCAACCGTGCCTCGGCCTGTGATTGCACTCACTCGGTCGGTCTGCAGCCCAGCAGCGCTCGTGGCCGTTCTCCTTCAGGCCGCGTCACCACGCCTTCCTCCCGGGACTGTGGTTTGAGGTCTGAGGCCAGGAGAGCCCTTCCTGTGGCTCCCCCAGTTCCCAAGGATTTTGTGGAATTCATTCAGTGGTGCTGTTTTTAGGGTGTTTTTCCAGGATGATTGCTCTCCTTCCTTTTTTCATGAGATTTAGATGAGGCGTGCAGTAATTAACTAAAGGAGGAATGCTCCTGCTTAGTTTCTTTAAGTACATCTCAGGTTTTGTGCTGTCAAGTAGATATAGGTGCCTCTTCCTTCTGTTCTGGAGGGGTAGGATAAATTACATTATTCTGATCATACCATTACAATTTATTTTTCACTAATTACCTTTGAAAACACAGCATTAATAATGCCTGTAACTTTTGTGTTCTTTCCATTTCATTTTGTCATCTTCACAAGACAAAAAAGAAAAAAATTTCCGGAAGGCTTGCCATGTCATGAGGGAGGCTTCCTTGGGTTTTCCTGGAGCTCCAGTAATTTACAAGGTGGAGACTGGCCCTCAGAAGGGAATTGAGAGATGTGGTCATGTGTTTAAATCTAACTTTGTAGTAAACTTGTTTTAAAGTAGTGAGAAATTCATGAGTGAATTCCATAAAGTTAGACCCAATAAAGGATGTGATTTTCTATGTGCATATTAAAAGAATAACCCTTTATTTCTATTCCATCAGCAGCTAACTCATGCATTTAAAAAATCCTAAGGCTGTGTTTTTTTATAAGTAAGATTAAGGTATATGGTGTAATACATTTTTTTAAAGCCTTAGGATACACTGACTATTGATTGAATGAAAGGTTTATTATAGTTATGAATAAGCATAAATGTCAGATTCTGAAATGATCATCTCCATTGATTTTTGTTTCTTCTAATCCACGCTTGCGCCTCGAGCATTCGGGCCATGGTGGTGCAGTGGCTGGCAAGAAGAACAGAACCTGGAAGAACCTGAAACAGATCCTGGCTTCTGAAAGGGCATTGCCATGGCAACTGAATGATCCCAACTGTGAGCTGTCTAGACCCTCCTATGTGCTCATAATGTTCAGACTAAGAACCTTCTTATAACAAACCCACGTTATCTTATTGTGTTTGCGTTCATGGAGAAACACTTTCTAGCTTAGGAATTTTACAGTAGTATCAATATAGGGAGGTTATGTGTGTTATTTCCTCATAGCTTTGCACTCTCTGTTGAATCTGTGTGTGTTGGCGTTGTCATGGATGTGTGCTTTTTAATATCACTGTTAACATTCAATCTGGAGAAGCAGGTCCAGATATGATTATATGGGTGTTGCTGTTAGACAAACTGCTTATTCAAAAGTCTACTCTTAAAATGTGTTTCCAAGTAAAAGGTTGCCCAAGCTTTAGGTGAGTTTCTCACCACCAGCTTAAAGGCCTGCTCTGTTTTACTCTCCGAGCCAGTGTTTTTCAGAGTTAACACTTTATACTACAGTATTTCCGAATGTCTGGTGTACGTTCCGCTCAACTTTAGTGGAAAGTACAGGTTCAAAGTTCTTCCATCTCCTGCCCCATGGCATGTCTTTTGTGGGGGTGACTCAGACTGATGACAAATGAGCTAGTCAGATGCCTGGGTGTGGACATTCCGGTGTCCGGATGCTCGGATCCAATTAGTGGGTTGTTTGACACCTCATCACCATCAGCCCATGTAGCCGGAGACCGTGAAAGCAGCTGGTGGGCAGTTGAGCTTTCTGGTGGTTCTGCTGAAGTGGAGGGTCTCCGGGAACAAGGCAAAGCTGTACTTGAAGCCTGTGGTTGGCTTATGGCATCCTGTATTATTTCCCCAGAGAATTCTCTGAGCACTTAATCACAAAGTATAAAGTTTGGGAATATTATCAAGCAATATTTTTAGAGGAAAAGGGGAAGGGATCTGAATGCTTTAAAGCCAGTTTAGTTAGCTTCTTTTTTTGTTTTTTTCCAGACTTCAGTATTGATGCTCCTCCATCCTTTAAACCAGCTAAGAAGTATTCTGATGTTTCAGGTCTTCTTGTGAGTATCATCACATCTCTATGTCGTATAACACTGAACCAAAAAGGAGATTTCACTGTACCCTCTATTTAGACAGTGTTGAATAGCGACACTGGTCCTGCCTGGAGCCCATGTACTGGAAACAGGTGATGGGTTTATACAGTCGCGTTTATGCAGTTATTTAAGAGTTGCAGTGACCTAGGGCAGGGACTTCACAGGTGGCTCGGTGGTAAAGAATCTGCTTGCCAAGCAGGAGACACGGGTTCGATCCCTGGGTCAGGAAGATCCCCGAGAGGAGGACATGGCCACCCCACTTCGAGTATTCTCATCTGGAGAATCCCATGGATGGAGGAGCCTGATGGGCTACAGTCCATGGGTTTGCAAAGAGCTGGACACGACTGAGCAACTAAAAGGCAGCGGCAGCAACCTGGGGCATCCGTGTGGGCAGCATGGGGCAGGCGTTTCTCCAGAAAGCAGGAGACCTGAGTGTCACTCTCCTTTCCTCTCCTTGCTAACCGTATGAGATAACTTGAAAGAAACATTTTTTTTTTGGCTGATATTTTAAAAATTCCCTGCATCTTAGAGATGATTGTACTTAAAATATTTAAACTTCTCTTAAGAGGCACTACAGTAAAGATAGTGATTTTCATATTTATTTTTAAACATCAGAATCCCTTTTCAATGAAATGAAAGCTTTTACAGAATCCCCTGGAGCCCACCTGCTCACTGTGGCCCCATGTGGATCTGGTCCTCTGTCCTGCCCACTCCCCACCACAGGGACTCCTGTGGTGCTTCTAGGGGACACAATTTGAAAACCAGCGGTGTGGTTTTATGAGTGGGACTTGGGCAAGTCCATGAACCTCAGTGTACCCCAGAGAATCTTGTTTCCTTATTTTCAGAATGTGGATGAAGTATAGAAGTTTCTAGAACTTCTTCATGCTTTTTCATGATTATTAAATTTGGAAGGTGGGCTTCTCATAACTGTGGAAATAATGAGACACTTCATTTTTTGAAGCCCATATACCTCACTTAAATTCTTTACTTTTTAATGAAAATATATGACTCCAACCGCTGTAACAAACTAAATTAATGATACACATTTTACACTAGAAAGGATTTTTTTTTTATTAGTTTTCCTCTCTGGATTAGTTGTATGTTTTTAGCTTGTCTTCCAGAGAGGAGCATATACTCTTCAGACTTGTTAACATAGACCTTAAATATAATGAGCCTAAGAAACGGGGAGTAGAAGTGTGTGGGGGTAGGGGAAGGGAGTGCTGTGTGTGGGTCATGTGTGTGGTGGGCTCTTCGTTTCGCCTACTCATGGGCATGTGTCTCTTCCGAAAGGTCCCCCGAGGGAGCTTCCATTTGAGAGAAATGTAGTTTTAGGTGATCTCTTGTCTCCTGCCAGAAAATAGTTGCCTTGTATATTTGACCCATTTTAATAGTTGTTTATGGAAGGAGAGCTAGTCTCGCACCAGTTATTCTGTTCTGGCCCAAAGTGGAAATTTCTCCCTGTTCCATTTTGTGCTGAGCTTGTAGCAGCCATGGTTTATGACTTGGAGGGTGGCCCCTTAGAACATAGCTTTATCCTCACCATTACCAGGCAGCTCATCTGCTAGTGCAGTGGTTTTGACATGTTGGGAGACATTTTGTTCATGTTGAAAAGCATTGTTCCCTTTATGCCATCGATAAAGGGCTTGTCATGTTATTCAAAACCTTCTGCCCCACTGTATGTAAGAATTAAGACATTCTGAATATACAGAGAACTCAACTAAATCATTGAGGGGCTTCCCTGGTGGTTCAGATGGTAAAGAATCTGCCTGCAATTTCAGGTTTGATCCCTGGGTCAGGAAGATCCCCTGGAGAAGGGAGCAATCCCATAGAAGAATCAGCTAAAAGATTATGAATAGACAATTACAAGGCAGAAATGCAGATGTTCAGTTTCACTGAAACTGATAAATAGATGTTCAGTTTCACTGATAGTTAGAAAAAAGACCCATTGGATAGGAGAGAAATGAAGACATTTGGTTCTATGCCTTGCCACCAACATACAGAAATGAACATCCTGCTATATGGTTGTTGTGAGGTGGGAGTTACATTGGTGCATATTCTTGGGGAAACAAATGGGACTACCTAGGGAGACAGGCAGGGAGATCCAACCAGTCCATCCTAAAGGAGATCAGTCCTGGGTGTTCATTGGAAGGACTGATGCTGAAGCTGAACTCCGATACTCTGGCCACCTCATGCGAAGAGTTGACTCACTGGGAAAGACCCTGATGCTGGGAGGGATTGGGGGCAGGAGGAGAAGGGGACGACAGAGGATGAGATGGCTGGATGGCATCACTGACTCGATGGACATGAGTTTGAGTAAACTTCGGGAGTTGGTGATGGACAGGGAGGCCTGGCGTGCTGCAATTCATGGGGTCGCAAAGAGTCGGAGAAGACTGAGCAACTGAACTGAACTGACTGAGGGAGACAGACAAGTAGAGGCCTACAGTGTAACAACTTGTCTTCCAGCCAGTGCCCCAGAGAAATAGTGTGTATAAGGAGCTTCATGCAAAAATGCTCATGAGAAAACATGCAAGCAAAACATTGTAAACAACATAAACATCAACCAGAGGTGGGGTCAGGGGTGGGCGCTAGTGATAAAGAACGCACCTGCCAATGCAGGAGGCTTAAGAGTCACAGTTCAACCCCTGGGTGGGGAAAATTCCCTGGAGGAGGGCACGGCAACCCACTCCAGTATTTCTTGCCTGGAGAATCCCATGGACAGAGGAGCCTGGTGGGCTACAGTCCATAGGGTCACAAAGAGTCAGACACGACTGAAGTGACTGAGCATGCATTCAGTGTGGGGTAGGGGTCAGGGGTTCATCCTGTTCTGTGAGCTTGCTGTATAGGTATAAAAACAGGGATAAACTTTTAAGGTGTGGTACAAAGTAGTGTAAGTGCACGGTACTGCCAAGTAAGAATCAATACCCAGTCACTAGGCACTTCTCTGGAGTGTGTGTGCGCGCGCGCGTGTGTGTGTAAGAGTGTATATGTAAACATTTAAAGTCTGGAACGGTGCCCATCTAGCAGTGCTTTCCTCAGGGGAAGATAAAGTACTTCTTGTTGTTGTTATTTGGCCACTAAGTCATGTCCGACTCTTGGCGACTCCGTGGACTATAGCCCCCAGGCTCCTCTGTTGATGGGATTGCCCAGGCAAGAACACTGGAGTGGGTTGCCATTTCTTTAGGGATCTTTCCAGTGCAGGGATTGAACCCAGTCTCCTGCTTGGCAGGCAGTTAAGAGTTGTAAAAGGAGACTTTAGTCTTATTGGCAATGTTTTTCTTTCTGTTTTTTTTTTAAGAGGAGAATATGTTCACCTGCTACTTGTACAAATTAAACTTACGTAATTAAAAAATAAAGCCGGGCTTATGTTTACACTGACCCGTCTGTTCCAGTGAGGGGCTGTTTCCCTGTGTGGGGGCCTGGCCGGAAGGCCCGCAGGTTCACACCTGTGTCAAGCCCCGGTTACAAGGATGCAGAAAGTGCTTCAGCCCTGGGGGAGTTGGGGGCCAGCGTTCGCTGCCAGGCTCCCTGCAGCAAGGGAGGCGTTAAAGCAGCTTGCTGCCTGCCCTCCGGGGATGGGGCCTCCAGCTTCAGGCTGGAGGGACGGAGTCCAGAGGAGGACAGGCCACAGGAGTCCGGCTCCCTGCTTGTTCATCTCTGAGGGGTCACTGGCCTCCTTCCCTCCATCAGGTCCAGTCTGTGCAAGTTGACGTCCACCTTCCTGTCAGTGCAGCAGTACCCTGAGTCCTGCGGCATCGGCTCAGCAGCCTTCCTGGCAGTAAGGCCTGAACTTGGGCGGGCCAGCTCGGCACAGCCTGGTGGTGGGAGTGAGGCAGCCGCAGAGAGGGAGGCAGGCCAGGGCTGGTTCATCCGCCGAGGCCAGATGATCAAAGCCAGATGCGCTCGCCAGCACCTCTGCTGGGAACTGCTGAAGGAAATGTGGTACAAAGAGGCAGTCACTAGATTAAGCCAAAGGATCAAAGGTTTGTTTTGTTATAGAGCTTTAATTAATCTTAGCTTTTTAGGAATAATCTCAGTTTCCTGATATGCAGATTTTAAACACCTTAGGAAGCTCCCCATGGTGGAACTGAGACTTTTTAGAGATTGAGAAACCCATGACTCAGTTCTCTTCAGCTTGTTGCCTCTTCATCCAGCCTCCCGCCCTCCTGAAATCATCGCATCGCTGGGCGTCTGGGTCCTTGCAGTCAACCAGCGCTGGCGCAGACAATCCACACTTGAGTAATTGGCTGTTACCTGTCTAGACGTTAGTGGCATCTTTTCTAATTTCTTAAAGGAATTCCAAATAACTCACCCTTGTGTTTTCTGTTTCAAAGTCTGTAGGAGCCGTGTGCCCTGAGGTAGACAGTGAGTGAGTATTTTCTCTACTTTGCACGTGGGGAGAACAGACCAAAAGAGAAGGTTGATAAGTCAGCGGAAACACTTCTCTTTTCTGTGCTTGTCCCAATCGTTCGTTTGTTCATTCACCCACTCATGCCTCATTTGTGGGACGAGCACTCGCCGTAGGCCCACTGTGTGTTCTGCATGGCGCCAGGAGACAGTGCAGCTGGGACCCAGTGATAAGCAAACTACACGGTTCTTGCCTCATGGAGCCTCACAGCCTAGACTTCAGTCAGAGTCACACAGATAATAAGCGTAAAAGCAGCAGAGATAAGCATTCCACTGGAGGCAGAGATGCTGAGGTGAACGCCAGGGTGTGGTCCTGACCTACCTACAGGGGCAGATAAGGCTTCCCAGATGATATGACTTTGGGGGCTGAGCCCTGAAGGTGATTACTGAGCAAGGGGCGAATGGGCAGGACAGGAAGGAGGGTGTCAGAGCCAGGGTAGCTGGAACAGAAAGTGGGGGACACATGGCTGAGGAAGTCTCGGGAAGGTGGGGTTGGGGGGTCCAGGCAGTGTCTGAGGAGCTGTGCTGTGGACTTGGGCCTTTGTCCTGAGAGCAGAGAGAAGAGCCATTGAGAGATTTCATGAGAAAAGGTGATCAGAATTGCAGGTTGTGAAGGTGTCCCTGGCTGTGGGTGTTGATGGCAGTCCCTTCCAGTGGAAGGGGGTGGGGTGGCCATCCCAGCCCTGCAGGGGAGCCCTTCGGGGAGCCTTGGGAGAGGCCTGGTGTGGGGGGCAGCAGGAGAGGAGCGCCCTTGGAATAGGTGGAGTGGGGGCGGGTGCAGTCTGGACTGTTGCCGGCCGCCCTGAGGCGCCAAGCAGAAGATTCCCCAGGTGTCTGCTGTGGTTATCCCCCTTCCTTCCTGTCCGTACCCTGAAGCGTCTCTCAAGTCTGGGGAGATTAACGTGTCTTTCCCACAGTGAGCGATCTGGTGTTCTTGGTGACAGAGCCAGACGTGATGAAGATACATTGATTGCACTTTGAGTAAAAGCCAGAAAACTAATTTTTAACTTGAACTTGAATCTCACTGCCAACAACACCTCTCTGCCCTTCTCTCTGCCTGTTTTGTCACCCAGGCCAACTACACGGACCCGCAGAGCAAGCTGCGCTTCAGCACCATCGAAGAGTTCTCCTACATCCGACGGCTGCCGTCTGACGTGGTCACGGGCTACCTGGCCCTGAGGAAAGCCACGAGCATCGTTCCCTGAGCCTGGAGAAACAGAGATGAGGTGGAAAACCGTTTCAAAAGGCAGACTTTGGGCTCAAGATTTTGTTTTATGGAAACAAACTCCTGCTGTCAATCTGGAAATGTCAGTGCTGTGCCTTGGAAAGAATGTTTGGCTTTCATTGAAGGAAGGTTTTTTTTTTTTTCTGTTTTCCCTCCAAGTGTGATATTTCCTGTTGAATTAAATTATACTTCAGTTGTTGCCTCAAATAAAGTTGTTTGACAAGAAAGTAGAAAATTGTGCTTTTAGTTTAACTCAAGTAAGTCCTCGAATTTTGGCTTCAAAGCTATGGAGTCTCTTAAAACACATTTAAAGAGTCCTGACAATGAGGCTGGATTATCCCTGATCCCTGTGACTCCCGCTTTGAGCACATTCATCTCTATCTCTGATCAGAATGCTTGGAAGAGGTCCAGAACTGAGGCTGGAGAAGAAAGCACAGAGGAGCTCACCCTGCCACACTGGCTCAGTCCTCGCCTTGGGCCTAGGTCTCTGAATCAGCCTCTCTTCTGGGCCTCCAGAACCTGTTAGCTAAGCCACTGACTGGTCTGCGGCATTTAGAGCAGCCTGAGCCGACTAAAACACTAGCCCTGGCCTATTTCTGGAGGTGTGGGGTGTGACCCTTGTCACCCCTTCCATGAGGGCGTCTGTCTGGGCACAGGAAACCACCCGCTTCCCCTCCTCTGAGAGGAAAGCACTCTGGGGCTGGGATGAGACGGATTCCGAACCCCTCTGAGCTCCATTCCTGCAAATATCTGGCAGGGGACAGTGGAACCAGGCCTTGGGACTGGCTCTGCTTTGGAGGTTAGGTCCCCAAGTGCCTTTTCTTTCTGACGGAAAGCCCTTCCGGGTGGTGGTGTTTTTCAGTTGCTGAGTTGTGTTCAACTCTTCGCGGCCCTGCGGACCTCAGCACACCAGGCTTCCCTGTCCGTCACCAACTCTCGGAGTTTGCTCAAACTCATGTCCATCGAGTTGGTGATGCCATCCAACCATTTCATCCTCTGTCGCCCCCCTCTCCTGCCCTCCATCTTTCCCAGCATCAGGGTCTTTTCCAATGAGTTGGCCGGTCGCATCAGGTGGCCAAAGTGTTGGAGGAGAGAAAGGGAAAACAAGGCTCAGAGTCGGCTGGGGGCTGCCTGCGGGGCTGGTGGCAGCTGCCCAGAATCCTGTGTCATTCAGCCCCTGCCCCACAGCTGGGGGGCTAGGGGGTGGGAGGGGTGCTGTATGCTTCCCCCTCCCCCATGAAAAAGGACTGGCTGAAGGCCAGGAGAGCGGGGACCTTTCCTAAGCCTGTGAGCCCTGAAGCACTCAAGGCTTCGCTGAGACACTCAGCGCTAACAGAACCATCTGAGGCCTCAGGGTAACTCGGGCGCCCCGCACCCCCGCCTGGGCCAGCCCCAGTGTCTGAGCCATAGGTCAGGGGTGGGGCCTGAGAATCTTCATTTCTAACTAACGAGACTGATGTTGCTGACCCAGAAACCGCACTTTGAAACCCACCGCCGACACAGATGTTCTCTGCAAGGCCAGAGGCTCCTCCCTGGGTTTCCGCACTCAGCCTGGGAAAGCCACGTTTCTGATGAAAACAGGGAGCCAGTGAGTCACGGGACCTTCCTGCCCCACTTGCACTGTCTGATACACAGAACACCTGGGTCAGGTGCACTTCTGTGCCAGGAAGTTCCCCATTTGGTTAGTGGCCCACTATCCAGTTCTAACCACGTCTAGAGATGGCAGTCCTAATCATTTTTAACACTGCTTGCTGGCCGCTACCTCAGTCCTGACTTCAGGCTCTCCTGGGCAACAGCCGGGAGGAAAGAGGACCCCCACCTGGCACATGTCCATGGCGGGGGCCACAGACCCCTGCGGGCCTCTCAAGGTTGAGGATGGGCAGTGGGCGTGTGCCCCCAGCTCTCTGGAAGTCACCTGGGACCCGTTAAATACAGATTCCTGGCTACACCCTAGACTTCTAACCAATGCAGGGATCAGGGCCTGGGCATCTGCATCTGGCCAGTATCCCGCCGTGACTGTGACGCACAGGAGGGTGAGACCACTGCCTTCCGCAGCCAGAGGGGAAGCACGTGTGCCGGACACCTGGCTCCCTTCTTTCCTGTTCCCCTGCCAGGTCTTCCTTGCCAGCCCTTATTTCGGCCAGAGAGCTGAGTTCTGAAGGTCAGGTCACTTCTCTCACCCCAAGCGACGGGGATCCAGGCTGAGCCAAACTACGCTTCGGGCTGTGAGCAGCTCCAAGGAGTCCTCCTACCAGTTCTGAACAGGCAGGTAGCCTGGTGCCGAAACAGCCTGGTCCAGTGTTCTTAGTCTTGCTGTATGTTAGCATCACCTCTGCGGTGGGCAGGGGTCAAAGGACACAGGGATTGGGATTCAGCTGTTCTAAGCCAGAGGTAGGTAATACAGGAGGAGGGCTGGGCATGGTGTTTATTTTATAAAGAGAGTATTTCCATGAGATATGTTTTCTAATTCAGATCAGCCATGTCTGTGTACCCCAGGCCCATGGGCAGTTTGGAAGGGGGTTCCTATGTATGTGTGTGTGTCTGTTCATGATTCCCACTCAATCTTCAAGGAAATCAATCCTTAATATTCTTTGGAAGGCCTGATGCTGAAGCTGAAGCTCCAATACTTTGGCCACCTGATGCAAAGAGCCTACTCATTGGAAAATACCCTGATGCTGGATAAGATTGAAGGTGGGAGGAGAAGGGGATGACAGAGAATGAGATGGTTGGATGCATCACCGACTCAATGGACATTAGTTTGAGCAAGCTCTGGAGGTTGCTGATGGACAGGGAGGCCTTGTGTTACAGTCCATGGGGTTGCAAAGAATCAGACACAATTGAGCCACTGAACAACCAGCCCTGGAGTCAGAAACTTGAATGTCACTGAAGATTCCTCCCTCTTCCATATTTATTCCTCATGTTCAGCTTGGATCCAAGCCCTGATCCTTTTCTCACACTAATCCTTTCTCTCCTATCAGACCCGTTCCTATCCAATATCGCCTGTTGCCTGGCCAATTCTTGGTATCCTTTTAAATGCTTTTTCCAGTAGTCTGACCCCCCTGCAGAGGGCCTTTCCACATCTTTGGATGACATGTGACTTTGTGCGTCACAGCACATCCACTGATGATCAGTCTGAGATATCTTGTAAGTTCTGGCACTGGCCTATAGTGTCCAAAGGATGAACTCAGTCCTTTAAAAGAGAAAACAAGTAGCTGAGAAAGCAGGTTGTTTTCATAAAACCAACCTGAGGTCCAGTCTGCTCTAAGTTTGATTCTTCCTGGTATCTGACACTTGTCTTTGAGAAGAGAAGAAAGCCATCTATTACTGGACACAGTTTAGAATGACCTGGAATGTTGGGCAGATGCTTTCCAGAGCTGGGGGCAGTCTGTGTGGATGAGGGGTAGCCATTTCCCAAGTAAAGGCATGCATCATTCTGGATTTTGAATGTGTTTTGTAATTGGGCCAAAAGTACTATCAGTGAGATATCTGTCCCTTCTGAATCCGGACCATCAGAAAGCAGCATCAGCACTAGATGCTGTACCCAGGGACCTATAACTGTGACCTGGAGGTCTTAACTTTGCAAAACTAAAAAGGAAGGAAATAAACTGGGGTGTACAGAGTAAAGAAACCAGAACAAAGAGGACAGATACCCTTGGGTGATACGGAAAATGTTGTCCTCTTACAAATGCAAGAAATGATTAGTGATTTTTAAAATAATGTTTTATCTGGTAGGAATGTTCAGGCCTTATTTGGATTCTGATTCAAACAACAACAAAAAGATTTTTGAGACAATTGGAAATTTGATATTGAATAGTTTTTAGGAACACTTATGAGTATTTTGAGTTGTGATTATGGTCTTGTAATGTTAAAAGAAAGGATTCATATCTTTTAGAAACATATACTGAAATATTTATGGATGGAATGATGTGCTATCTGGGATTTGCTTCAGGATAATTCAGGAGACAGGAAGGGGATGGGAGTAGTGTTGAAAGAAGATTGTCCAGGAGTCAGTAACTGTTGAAGCTGAGTAGTAGGTGCACCGAGGTTCATTATACTATTCAACTTTGATAGGTGTTTGAATTTCTTTATAATGAAATGGTTTTTTTAAGAACGACACTTTTATTACTAAAAATTGTGATGATGTTTTACCTAAATTGGCAGTCTGCATGAGCATAAAGGGGCTTATGGAAACTGAAAGTTTGAGAATCTCTGCTAAATGCTATATGGTCTTGAATAGAGGGAATACCCAGTTCTCAAAGTATTTCAAAAAGGATGGGTTGTAAGGAAAGAATCACAAGTCAGAGGAAGTTGTCCTCAAGATGTTGCTAATAGAGGTCTTTGTTGTGGGTTCCGTTGGCCTGAAAGGGTGTAAGAGTGTTTCCCATATAGGGGCAGGCGTGAGAGTGGAGAAACTATAGACACCAGCTTCTAGTTTCTTCCAGGGGATAAATAAAATATACTAGAGTGGGTTTGGGATGTGTTAAAATGACTATGGTTTGAGAAAGTAACTGTTGATAAACTTCCTGGTAGACTCTGCAATCTTTATACACCTATACAGAGATGGAAATTAAATCATCAGAGAACTAAGCACCTGAGCAAACTGTTTTAGTTGAAGGAACTACTTCTACAGAATTTTAATGGCATTTATGCTTTTGTGCCTATATTTAGGAATTGTACTGAAAGAGGTAAGGAGACACAGTCCTACCAAAATCTCTATTGCATCTGCTGCAGAAATACCCCCAAGGGCCCCCTCACTGCCTTGGGTGAGCTTTCTAGTTTGGCACCCAAACATGGAGCCTCTTAGTCTGGATTTGAATCTCATTTCCACAGTTCATTAACTCTCTGGTCTTGGGCAAATTGTTAACTTATTCTCAAATTCTCAGTTTTGTTATCTGATCATTGTCATCCACCTGACATGACTACCAGATCAAATGAGAAAATGTCAGATGAGCATTTAACTCAGGGATTTCCCTAGTGGTC